TCGTGACGAGCTGTCAATTACCTCGAGAAGAACTTACACTGCGAACTCAAACACAAAACACTGAAATGTTATTCATTGAAAATCTCTCAATTTTCATTTGCGCTTCCATAAAACATTATGAATGATAATTATTCCTAATGCATGATTGTAATGTATATATTACTGTAATGTATATGTCACATGATCCTTCAGAAATCAGTCTAATATGATGATATGATGCTCATGAAACATTTATGATTATTAGCAATGTTGAAAACAACTTCATATTTTTGTGGAAACTGAAATACATTTAATTTTTCAGGATTATTTGATGAATAGAAAGTTCAAATTAGACTGAAAACAAACAAAAAAATATTGTCCAGACTAGTGTTGTCACGATACCAAAATTATTGTTTCGATACCAATACCAAGTCAAGAATTGCGATTTCGATACTTTTTCGATACTTTTCCTGAAAAGGGAGAAACACTCAAATATCATTGCTGTGCTTTATTTTAAAACTGGGACAACATTCTAATCATATAACACACTAATAAATGAACATATGAACAGCATATAGGCTATATTAACCATTTGAACAAAATATGAAATATGAAAAATATAAAAAATAAATTAGAGCAATGACATTCAAGGTAAAAAAATAAATAAATATAGCAGCATTATCTCAGTTATCATAAGAAACATAAGATTTTATCAATATCAATGCCAGGGGGGGGGGGGGGTGTTATTTGTTTTAAAAACTTACACTTGAGTAAGCAAACTGTAGCCTACTTTTTATGTAATTTATGAAACCTTATTACAAAGTGTTAGCGATTAGTTATACACCGATTCAGACAGATCAGTTGTTTTAACCATTCATTAAAACGAATCGGTTCAAATGAGTCATTAGTTCGCGAATTGGATGTGTCATTATCGGACGTGTGCGCGTTGTGTGATTATCCAGGCGGTTAGGACATCCCACAAGATTTGTGTCATCACAGAAAACATTTCATGACTGGATAGTTTTTTTTCGTTTATTTAAAGTGTGGTTTATGTCAGCTGAATGTGCGGAACGCTTTTCAGAGAAGATAAGGCAACGTATTTTACCACAATTTACTCCTAGCGGTAATTCAGGAAAACATTTTTTTAATTAATTTGATTAATATGTGCGAGGGAGAGAGAGAGAGAGAGAGAGAGAGAGAGAGAGCAAGACAGCGCTTAGTTTAGAGACGGTGAAGGCTTGTTTATACTTTCGCTTGGCTACGCAGAGAGAGAGTGCGCGCGCGCGACCGGGGTCGTCACACGCGCATGAGGAGAAAAACACAGACGTCCATAGGGAGGCACTGGAAGCGTGCGTTGCACACACCAACATGCAATACTCTCTTACAAATCTGGAACGCGGTCATTCTTAGAAGTATCGATACTAATAAATTTAGGTATCGTGAAGTTTTTAATTTCCGAGTATCGCGATACTTTTGAAGTATCGGTGCACCGTGCAACACTAGTCCAGACAAAAAAACGAAACAAATTCAAGTTGTTATTCATTGAAAATCTTCCACTTCCAGTTCAAATCTCTCAATTTTTTATTTGCGCTTCCATAAAACATTATGATAATTATTCCTAATGCATTATTTTGAATTATGTATTGATCATTTACGAGATATAAATGCCATTTGGTTTCCTTGGCATTGTGTCTCGATGCGTTAGTTACTGTATGTGTAAGAACCAATGAGATTGAAAATTGCAGTATTTTTCTCGCACGAAATATATATTTATAGTAATATAATACATAAATCTTGTTTTATGAATCTTTGATGGGGTGCTTTTTATATCTTGACAGATGTAGTCACCATTCCTTTTTATTTTTTTGAAAAATGAATCGCCGTTATTTTAGTTTCATTGATTTACTTTTATAGTTTTTATTTTTTTTGTATTTTCATTTTAAAGTACATTTTGTTGTAATTATTCTTTCTTTTTTCTTAGTTTTGTTTATTAGTGTTTTTGTCTATAGTTTTTGTTTAGTTTTAGTTATTTTAATATTTTAAATTATTTTCTAAAAATATTTTATTTCAGACAGGAAACTAAAAATTACTAAAATATGCACAAAAAAATCATTAAACCTATTAAAAATGTTTCTGTTCATTGAAATGAAGCTGAGATAAGAGAACAGAAATATTAGTTATAAAAAATATACACTAAATTAAAATTTGAAATGATGCCTTGACAATAAACTGAAATAAGATAAGTTACCTAAATAGCAATATTTATTAATAATAATAATAATAAAATGAATAAATCACTAAAAATTAAACTAAAATTAATTAAATTAACATGAAAAATAAAAATATAAAAATAAAAGCTAATTCTATAATTATACTATAAACTATAATAAAACTAAAAAACAACTTAAATAACACTATGATTTTTGTAAAAATAATAACCTGGAGTGAAGATTTATTACAATTTCAATCACACTTTAGATTAGAGTTAAATTCTCACTCTTAACTACGACTTTTTCCTCCAATATCCTAGTAATATGCATGATAATAAGCAACTAGATAATAGTGAATTAAACTAAAGTGTTGCCAAATTTCTTCGAAGTGAGTGGTTTTGGAAAGACGTGTGCGAGTAAATATT